GACAATATTGCTATTGTAGATAGAATACAGGCTCAACTGCTCTGACAAGACTCCAAAATAATAGTGGCTTAAACAAAATAACAGTTGGGATTGATATGGCAGGTCCATAGGCTCCTTCTGTCTTACTGCTCTACTGTTCTAATATCAGTTTTTCTCTCATGATCTAAAAATGTCTGCTTCACCTCCTGGAATCACATTCACATTCCAGCCAGTGAGAAGGAGACAGGAAGAGGGGAAGGGGTGCAGTCCTTCCCTTTATGGGCATAACTTAGTTATTAATGCACATCGCTGCTATAATACTTGCATCTTTTTGGCAAGAATTTGGTCATATGGTCAGAACTAGCTACAAGAGAGTTGGGAAATATTGTGGAAATATTGTCGATATGCTCACTTAAAACTGAGAGATTCTATTTCTAAAATAAATAAGGAGAGGATGGCTATTGGAGGGCATTAACTGTGCTATAATCACCATCTTCTGGTAACTGTGAAAAGAACTGATTGAATAGTTTTAAGCTTAGATGTGAGTTTGTAATCCAGAGGTAAAACGGGTGTCTGTGGAGACACAATTGTATTTATGCATGTTATACCCTATTTTATGCATTTTTGTATTCCTCCTATCTAGCATAGTGTACTACTTAAAATAAGCACATAAGAAATGTATTTGGAATGAATGGATGAACAGCCTTCTTTGCCTTTCTTATATAATCTGTGTTATGTATGTATTCTTTATTTTTATAGGCATCACTTACTTGTTCCTATCTGTATTTTATTAATATTTCTCCAAGAAGACTTAAGAATAGAAATGATGACAGCGCATAGTTTGATGGAGGAGTACTTTGTGTCTCCATGGGTGTATGTAACATTTCATAGAAATCTGAATTAACTTACACCATAGGACCAATTTTTCCTACCCCGCAAACTGACAGTTTTACTTTCTGTTATCATGTTTTAATTATTAATAGAGTGGCTGTATTCTTTTGAATGTTCGGCACTATGTCTGAGAATTCTGAATTTTTTTTTTAACTAATAATACTGTGGGTCACTAATTGGTTTGTGAAGATGTTTCCTCTGCACTTTGTGTGTATATTTTACATATTGACCAGCTATCTCTGAAGAAGAAAAGATGATCTGAGGAAAAGAAGTTTTCTGACATGATTTTTTATGTCTCAAAATAGGCATTTTATAGAGATTTTGGTCATTATATCTTGTTTTTGGCCTTCAGATATTATAATTTACGCTCATTTGTTCCTGTATTAATTTCTACCACACCTTTTTAATAACTCTTAAGTGCCAGGTGCTGCACTCAGTGTGGGGACTGTGAAGATGTGTGGGGCCCAGGCCGCACCTCCCTGAGCTTGGTGTTGGTGTCACACAGCGTGGGGAGTGCTGTGTTGGTCCCACACTGTGGAGCAACGGGGGTGAGGGTGGGAGGGAGCTAGGAGCTTGCGAGGCGAGGGGGCAGGCGGGATGCGGATGTGATTGAGGTGAGTCTGGTTAGTTGAGAAATAATATGGCGATAGTTCGATTTGGTAGGAGTCAAGGATACAAAGTGCGGATGGAGCTGGAGCACTGGATCATGGAGGGTCCCTTATACACTATGCAGGGGATTGTGCACTTAGTGTCTTCAGATTAGTAGCTTTCAAATGTTTTTGTTCATGACTCATAGTAAGGCGTGTGTTTTTACATGATGACTTATTACTAGGCCTGGCCCTAATATTTGCAGGGCCTAGGACAAGAGAACAAATGAGAGCATATATACAATATAGCTAAATATTTAAAAGTTATATATCAAGGCAACAAACTGTTAGGAAAGGATACACCAACCTACCTTGACAGATATACCTTATAATGAAAAATGAAAACTGTGTGTAAATCCATTGATACCAAATAACCGAGAATAGTGCAGATTTAAAATTAATTTTGTATTCCACAAAAGACTATTAATTTACCCAAGGAAATGCCAGGGCAATCGCAGCTGGGCCAAGTGGGAGGAGAAGAGGGGAAGGCTCACTCAGCCTTCTCTTCCAATGGCTGTGGAATCCGTAAACTAAACACCTCCTTTCTCTTTATTGGGAGAGTGGCTCTTTCATTTCTGCCAGGGACTCTGTCCATCAACCCATTGCCCCTTCTCTACCCCAAACAGCTAGGCATTGAGTTCCAGGGCCATCTAGTCCATGCCAATCCAGTGCAAGGGCACCCTCCTTCCCCCAGGTACTCCCCGTCCTCCACCCTTCCAGGAAGGTTTGCATTTAGAACTCTCTGAGTAGGAAACCACAAGAGGACTAGTGAGAGCAGCTGGTTCCTGCCCTCTTTGCCCCACCTTCGTTCCACACCTCCAGGGGCTGAAGGGGCCCTGCCGCCCTTAGGTCCAAGCTGCCTCCTTCAATTAACAGCCTTTGACCAGCCCTTGGACTGGAGGCACACACACACCCACACACACTAGTAGCACTGTCGGACATGAGGAGGGGGCTCACGTAGGCCAGAAAAATGGCTCAGGGCCATTTGGGTGGAGAATAGTGGGGACCCTGGTACTCATTAGTGAATCTGAAGGGAGAGAGGAGGTTATGAGGTAACTAAGCCAAAGATAGGCCTCAAGATGGTAATAGTGAGGATAGAGTGGAGGGGAAGTATTAATAGAATCAACAAATCTTGATGATTAATGAGATATTTGGGTGCAGAAGAAATCTAGAATAATGCCAATGATTTCTGATGTGCGGCATTTGAAGTCATGGTATAACATTCAGGTCGTATTGTTTGTTAGTTGGATATATGGGTTAGGAGGTCGTTAAAGAAATGTTTTCTAATGCATGGTTGCTGAGAGAATCATTTGATTTCTAATCATTTGGATGTTTGTTAAAATGCAAATGTCTAGGTCCCATCTACTGAAGCAGAATCACTGGGTGGTGTCTGGAAATCTGGATGTTAGCAAGCTCCTGAGGTGACTTAGAGACACATCCAGACCCTAGAGAGTGAAAAGAGGATTTTAAGTGGAATGAGGATTGAACTTAAGGACAGGAGGAGGAAGGGAAGTAATAAGCAGACACTGGAAATAAGTGGGCAGTGTGTCCAATGAAGGAGAGGGGTTTAGTAAAGTAAGGTATGTAACAGCGTTTTTGCATTTAACATTGGGAAGTTTCCAATAAACCATAGCAAGGGCAGTGGCAGTGGTTTAAGTGGTGAATATGTTGGGAGATCAGGAAAGGAAGATGTATGATATAGGGTGTAGTCTGTCCTTTCAGTGACCTTAACTGTAAAACCAGAAGAAAGAGGGATAACAAAGCAAGGCACATATTTGAAGGAGAGCTTTTTAAAGAATTCTGGAGCACTTACATGCTTAAGGGAGGAGGAACCTGTGGGGAGCCAGATATTAAAGATAGGGCAGAGAGAAGGAGTTATTGATACAGCCTGGTTTCAGGGGAATGAGAGATGCATTTTAGGACCCAGGTGGAGGGAACGTTAGACAGAAGGAAGAAGCTGTATACCTGTGGCTGGTATACAGCTAAGAAGGAGAGAGGGTATGTACAGATGCAGAAACTTTCCTTAACAGACATTTGGACACCAGCCCCAGGCATTATTTAGGTGCTGTGGCCACAAAGGTTAACGAGGCATGGCTGTAGTCTGATGGGGGAGATAGATGAGGAACCCGGTAGGATCACGTGTGGTAATTGTCATTAGAGTTGTGCTCCGGGAATGTGGAAATGTAGAGAAGGTTATGAGGCAAGGCTTTCCAGAATTGGAGGGAAAAATGTGCAAATGGGTTGGAACCCGAAATTGGAGGCAGAGACATGTACGAGAAGGATTGAGATGAGGACTGTGGTGGGGCCAGGGTTTGGGGAAAATGTGAGCCTGGGTTATAGTGGTGCTTGTTGATAACCATGGGTGCAAAAATATATACATATTTATACACATACACACACACACACACACACACACACAGACACATTTATTGATGTTGTTAAAGCATCAGGTGAAACTTTATTTGGGAGTACTTGAGAAAATGAATTTTTATAACTAAGGAAGCTGCTACTTGTTTATCCGTCCCCCTCCCCCTTTGATGACTTTTCTTGAAGCTAATTTAGGTAAAGAAAGCCACCGCTTCCAAAAGTGCTTTGGTACCCTGGCATAATTTCAAAGAAATCTTCTTTCCCACTTAGTTAACTACATTTCCCCAGGAAAAAAAAAATCTTCTCTGTCAATGTAACATCCTTTAACAGGACTCCTGCTGGTAGGTTCTTGTATCTTGCTGTGGCAGCTGTGAACATATATACTATTGATTGTTAACGTGTGATATAAATCCAACTGGAGCATGCCCACTAATTGGTTTGAGAGCTAGATATAGACAATGCTGTCTTATAGTAGCTTGTGTAGATAGGCCTAGTCATAGGGTTAATTCTGCTTGACAGCACATCAGCAGCATCTTGAGAGTAATTACTCAACAGAAGTTTTCCCACAGCTGAACTGAGAGCTTCAAAGGCTTCTGAATTTATAACCAGTGTTAACCTATATCTGAAACATAATGTTCCCACAAGGGCTCAGATTTTTTTCTCCTTCTTATTAAATGTATGGGGTTACTAGGTTCATTTGCTGTGTGCTAAGAACTTGGTGAAAATTACTTAGTGTTGAGTAATTTAGGATCTTTAATAATAAAGAAGATAGTTATAAATTTGGTTTTGTATTGCTTTATTATATTACTGAAACAATCTGTAAAGATCACGTGCTTTTTGAAAATATAATTTATTCTCTTTCTCTCAAAAATAAGTTTAAATAGTTAATATCTTTTCCATACTCTGTTATCTGTACTGATACATGCACGTGTAGGGGGCCTAGGCTAATGCATGCATTTAAAATGATTAAAATAAATATTTATTTATATTTTAGAAAGCTATTTTACTTCTTGACCAATATATTGAAATCTGTAACTATTAAAGCCCCTCCCCCATAAAGTAAGTGTTCTTTTACAAACAGTTTTTATATTGTAAAAAATTTTTTTCACTTTGCAGGTCAGAAACCAAATTTGATTCCAGTTCAGGTATGTTTACATTAATAATGCTATTCTGAGTATATTTTATTTACATTATTCTCTGAGGAGTAATTCATCAGATCAAGAACCATTTTGATTTTAAACAGACTGGCTAGTCTCTTTTCAAAACATGAGTCTCACCTGAAAGCCAGTCTATTGACTGCTTCACATCATGACTTGAGATGTTCACTTTGGGATTCTGCAGAGTTCTACGATAAGCATTAAATGCCCTACATATGCAGAGTTTCATTTGAAAAGTGGAAATGGGGTGGTACATACTTATTGCTCAAAATGGAATATAATTTTCTCAGTGGATAAAGCATCCTGAATAATTTGAAGATTCTCTGCAAGTGATTTGTCACCAAATGTAGGGGATGGATGTATTTAATCCAGCAAACCATAAAGAGTCTCAGCCAATAGAAATTGAAATTTGTCTATGACTTATTTGTTTTTTAAAAAAATGTTTTATGGGGGGGGGTGACAGAAAATTAAGGTCACTTTAAGTCATTATTTTGTATCTATTACGACAAAATTTACATTCTCACAGCGGCATATCAGCCTTAATAGGTGTTTTCTTCTCGTTAAGCATGAATGTAGCCGCATAATCCTCAGGTTTGACTATGTCCTTATGTCACTTGCTGAGATTTATGTGCTTCAGGGTTTATGATGGTGTTTACAATTAAAGTACAAAAATTGCCTGATGTTTGGTGCAAAGGAACTGGGCTCTTTGGTGGACTGTTAATAGATAAATAAACATTAGTTTTTAATTCCAGGGGAAAATAATTTACAGAAAAATATGTAACTTGAATTTAAAAGTGACATTTTTACTCTGGTTTGAGGTTCACTATATTTCAGCTTAAAAAATGTTTATACTTGTTATGGTTACAAAGGAACAAGTGCTGTATATTCTTTTTGATAGTGATGTTAAGGAGCCAACACAGTTTTTCTTCTTCATAAGCTTTATCTTTCTTTTATTGTCTAGCTTTATTAATTTAGTGAGAAGTCTAATTTATGAAATCTGTACATTTTAGTTAACAAATTCATTTACTTTGAGAACCAAGATTCCAGTAATCTTTCTATTCTGTGTGTTCTGGGGCTTCTGAATCATTTGTGCCAATTATAGTATAAGATAAACATTTTTGGTTTACAGCGTTGACTACATGGAGACTAAAGGTGGGATGGCACTGTATCAACTCTTTGATTCTTTTATTGCACTTGATCTCAGCCAAAAGACTGAGAAGAACTGACTCTTTTATTGATTCACAGGTGGCTCAAAATAAAGTGAAAAGTCTTTCTCATTTTTTAGTAGTTAAAAATATTTATGTATAATAAAAATAAATGAAAAAATTAGAGAATGAATTTTTACATAAAAATCATGTCTTTTTTTTTTTTTTTTTACCTCTGCCAGTCACCAAATGTTTATTAAGAACTCATCTTATTTTGATCTGATATAATTCCCTAAACATCAAGTCAGAAACTAGTTTTAGGTACAGGATCTGGAATATAGCTTTTAAAAATGAAAAAGTCCACTAGGTTCATTTTGAAGCTAAAATCTGGAAATAGTGTACAAAACTGAAATATTAGGCAGCTATTGTCAAAGTCAGATAATTTATGTTAAACTTTCAAATACGAATTAAAGTGTGCTGCTAAATTCCTGCACTGAAGGTTAGTATTTATCATGAAAATAGTTATAACATCTGTACGGGCACACATCTTTCACTCTTGTAACTGAAGATTTTGTCCATGACTCTTATTTTTTTCAAGTCCTAATTTTTTTAAAAATGTCTATCAAGGACAACATCTGCATGTCTTTGAAAACTACAAAGTTCTCTACTCTGAAAGTCTTATGGGGAATACTGATTAAAAGTTTATTTATTCTTTTAATTTTTAACTTAAATATGTTGTGGAAAGAATTCAGATGGTTTCAAATTAAGAAATAGGTAATTATTTTTTCTTATTAGCTTTTTTTGCTTATTATTGAATGAAGGAATCATGACAAAGGAAGCTAGAAATTTATTCTTTGTCATTCTGTATCATGCAAATTTTGGTTAGAAATAAGGTAACATATTGGAACAATTAAATGTATGACTTTAATAGGTTCAAATTCTCTATTGTTCATCAAATACAGAAAGTAAACTAGCTCTGTTTAATGTTGTATATAGCTGTGACAAAGTAAGATTTTTAAATGAAGGAAGTTGCCAATCTTACTAAGAAAAAAAAATCTTAAAAAATAAATGCTATGGTCAATGACTAGCCATAAAGGAAAGGATTTCAAAGTCAAAATATATGTGTGTGTGTGTGTGTGTGTGTGTGTACATATACACATATATATGTGTGTGTGTTTACATATATATTTGTGTGTGTGTATATATACACAAATTTTTTTTTCAAGGAAAGTACCCAACTTAAGCACAGCTTACTGCACAACATTTATAGTTTGTATAAATGAGTTTTAGGCTGTGGAGTGAGATTCAGGAGGAAGGAAGGAAAGTTTTCATTGCCAGCACATGTTAAAAATTTTCAGTTGTTGACTATTTACCAAATGATTAACCTAGAAACAGATTTGATTTTTTTCTTATTAGAATGGTATCGTTTTTTTCTATAAAAGCAAATTCACAGCCTCCCTGTGTTTTTTTAAAGTTAAAAAATTTTATAATGAAAAATTTCAACCATATATGAAAACAGAGAGTATAGTATGATGAGTACCCACCTAATCATCATTTAAATTTTATTATTATTAATAATTTGCCATATTTGTTTCAGTTTTCTTTTTTTACTTGAACTATTTTAAAGTAAAATATATTTCATGTGATTTTTAAAATCTGAAAATTACAGATTGTCTTAACTTAATAAAAGGAGCCAATTAATTTTTTGAGGTTTTCATCTATCTCAGAAATTTGGATCACAGACAAATTATTATGTAAAGGATCGTGGCATTTACATCTCCACATCCAGTTAAAGACTCTTTGAAAGTTCTGCTTATGGTGAATTGTGTGGTTAAGAAAACTTTCAACCAGTAGGCAGAGGCGCTGAATTAATTCTGATCTGAGAACCCCAGGAAAGTTCTGTCGTCAAGATTAATTTGGTTAAAACTTTAGCTGCCATTTAGCTGTGGTCTCTATGTACTGAGTTATATACTGATTAAAAAACTTTTCTGTTGATTTATAACTCAATCACCTAAAGTTTTTGGCTTTGCCAATTGAGAACAGTCAGCCCACCTTCTTTCTAAAGGAGTTTTAAGGTTTCCATTTTAACACCTTTTCCTAGTTGATGTACTAATGTTGCTTGCCTAGGATCGTGTGGAGTTGGTGATTTTACTAATAGAGTAAAACAGACTTCCTTTTATGTTCAAAAGTAGCAAGAAGCTGTACTCTTCTCCCACCTCCCAAGAAGGGAAGTTAGTTGATGCTGGAGGAAGCAGAGCATTGAGTTTAATGTAGTGATTAAACATGAAAGCCATATATCAAATCTCAGGAGAAACATGCTTTTGAAAGAGGCAGAGAACTGTGGAGCATATTGCATGATAGGCTATATAAACAGAGCCCTGGAGGTCAGTGTATGGATGCAAACCAATTAAATAAAGAACTTACTGGCTTTGCTTTCTATCATCTGGATGGGGAGGATCACAAGTTAACATGGCACAGGGTTGAAGCGTAAACTTTGCTTAAATAAGCTAGGCACCTTTGGAAACTTCATTAACCCTTTCAATCCACTACTAAGATTTTTTTTTTTTAACCAAGGTCCCTAGGAAGTTAAAAAAAAATCCAAAATATATGCTCTCTTGGCCCTTCTGTATATACCCATCAACAAAGAGTAATGAGCTAATGCGTAAAATGGAAGAAAAAGCAAAGGATGAGCTGCTGAAAAGACCCAGAGTTGGCTCTGAAGTCAAATTTCAAGAACATGCATGTCTTTCAAATACAACCCATTTGAAAAAGCAGAGTTCTTGCAGAATAACTGAAAAAAGATGTTTTTCTCTTCTGAATGCTGGGTGTAAGGCAAAGATATAGTTGGAATATACTTGGAATATTAGTAAGTCACTAATATAACTACAGGATATGGTTATTTCTGTTCTATTAAAATAGAATAGCTTTCTGACCAACAAGAACCTGATGTTTATAGGTTAATAACTGTATGTTAAAGACTGCCTACACTCTAATTCTGTGGTTCTAACCTTCTCAGGCAATGTTTGGGTGAGAAAATGAAATACCAAGTTAAATGGTATAGTTTCATGGTCCATAAACATTCAAAACAAAGATTTTTTTTCTATAGAGTCATGTTGGCTGAGAAAGTGAATAAGCTTATGTTTAGTGCTTGTTGATTCTGGGCTGCTTGGAATAGCTATACTAAGGAAATGGGCTCATAGAACACAGCAACTCAAAGGTATAGGATTTCATGAAAGCAAATTATGGAGGATTAAGAAACCTAATGAGCATGGTTTAGTGTGGAGAATTGAGGAGGGAGCTCACTATTAAATAAAGCCCAAAACTGTAGAAGGTTAGGAGATCCTAAAAGACATGATTATAAAAGGTACAACAGAATATAATTATGCTGAAGGGGGAAAAAAAAAACCCTCCAAGAGGGGGAAAAACCGTCCAAGGAACAAAAAGCAGCTAGTGTCGCTTTTGGGATCTGTAGTTAAAAAGGAATCTACACCAGGATAAGGAAATCAAAGAATATAATCAGTTAAAGCTTGAGGCAAAAACATAAGGACAGTGAAAAATAGAGTGGACTGCTATGGTAGTCGCTAAGTTGAAGGGAATTTGAATGTAGTAGAACTACAGAGTTTTGAAAGTTTACTAAAATTTGAGACAATTTGCCTAACACAGTAAGCCCTTCTCAAGAAATACTAATAAGGAAAATATTTTCAGTTCCTGTAAGAGTGAGAATATGTTGACAATAGTTTCTAGTTGTACAATTCATCGTTTTAAACTTCTGTTTTGAAAAATCTCATAATAATGAAAAACAAGGAAATAAAATATATTTTTTATATAAGAATATCAAATTCT